TCATTTAAACACTGCCTTGCATGTCTCCACTGTCAGGATGTGGCAGAGCTGGCAGTGGCTACCTAGTTCCCAACTTTGACATACAGGCCACCTTCTCTGCCTAGTTTTACTATGAGCTGCCAGACTTTTGTGCTTTGTGGAGTTTTCTGCATCTGCAGAGAGAATTCATGGCTGGTGATTGCAGAGGAAGTTCAGAACAGGTAGCAGTAATGATCTGTGCCAGGCTAAGACCATTTTTCAGCTTGAGCTGCTGAAAAAGGGCAGAGCCTTTAATAAATATGGGTGCACCTACCTGCATCTGAGAATGAATGAGATTTTCCTGACCACAGAAGCAGTGTCTCAGGAGTCCTGCTGTGCAGGAAAGTCTACCAGAGGAGATGGACCAGTAAAGCTGTTCCTTTGCTGTTCCCACCACTCTAGCGTGGTTCACACAAGCTGCTATGCTGACAGAGTGGCCCACAGGAGCAGGGCAGAGCAAACCTCACAGCTAATGGACTTGTCCTTTTTTGTTGTCTTGTTTGGCTCTCCAGTATGACCCACCAAGATCCCAGAGACAAGCCTTTTAATCAGATCAGGGCCCTAGAAGCAACCGTGTCAGGGATGATAGCTGGAGTTGAATATGCCACTGCTCTTTTCAGCAACTTTATGCAGCTCCAGGACTGGTTTCCTGGAGTGTCCATAACAGAAAGGGCATGTGAAGCTCTAGCCTGCTTACCAACTCCTCAGACATTTTGTGACTGCTCAGCTTGTGTCTGTCTGTCACCTCTTCTGATTGTGTTTAGTTATTTGTCTCCATTCTCACTGCTGCACCTGCCTTGCCCAAAATGGTTAAATGAGTCTCTGTTGCCAGTGTCAGTTTTGTCTGAGAAGCATGACCATGAGGGCTGGCATGGGGAGCAGTATTTCTTCTCACCTGCAATAACTTAGCAGTTGTGCAACTGATCTAACCATATCTTTTGTGATTGTGGTTTCTCTGTCTGACTGTGGACCTTTTCCTTGCTCTTTCTTTCCTGACTCAAGTTCTTTTTTTTTCAGAAGCATCCTTTAGATTAGATGTGTGCACCGTGTCTATGCTGTAACTTGCGATCTCTGTAACTGCACAGGTTCAGACCACTGCTTTTGAGCAAGTTTTTGGTATTTTCAATTCCTTTGGTGGTGTAATAGGAAACAAACAAAATATATGCTGAAACCAAATTTGCTACAAATATCCATGGGGATAAAATATATTTGCGAGTTGGTGGAAGTGTGTCTAAATATGGAAAACTGCAACTTTGAATTTTTCGATTTGAGGAATTTAATCCTATTTATCAGTACCTACTGATATAGGATATATTGTATTAATATAGTGTATATTAATGCTCAGCATATTCTTATGGGCACTGGAATGAACGGGGAAGTGCAGTCCTTCAGCATCTCAAGACTGTCGCTAATTCCTCGAGTGAATTTCTTCTAGAAACTATGTCCTCCCACTGTTTTCTCTTGCCAGGGACTGTTTGCGGTGGCGCTCCCGAAGGCCGCCGTGTACCCGCTCATCCCCTCAGCCAGCTGTTGCCATCTGGCGGCCATCGAGCTGAGCCGCCGGGCTCCTGCGAGGGCTTCCAGCGGGGAATGTGTGCCATGATGACTGTAACCAGGGGCAGTCTGGGAACAAATACATGGCAAACTCACAGATACTTGTCTAACCATCTGCCTTCTCTCGTCCAGTGCTGCCATAATTTACTGTCACCGACAGCGCTGTTTTTCTGATACAAAAATATATTTAAAAAGGTGTGTACTGCATTGGAAAGCTAACTCCCCTAAATGAACAGTGCTGTTATTTTTCAGCTTTTGTTCCTTTAATTTCCCTGATGTACTATCTAATCTCTCTCTGTTCTTTCTACTACTTTTGCTTCTGCTTCACATCACCCCCACCCTCCCACAGGCTGTGTCGTCCGAGTATCTGTTGGAGCCTCTGGAACTGGCTCTCTTCCATCGGGCATTGCCTTTATGCACGCAATTCCTAGACCAAAATTTCAGTTAAAATTTGTATTCCTTACTCTGTCAAAAGCATTAGGGTATTCTGTTCACTTGCACTGTGTCTGTACGATATCACCCTGCCAAAGAGACCTACTGTAGGAGCACTTGCTCACGATCGACTTCCTCTGGGCAGGAGCGGCCTTGCAGCACTTGTTCCTTGTACATGGATGGAAGGAACAATGCCCTAAATTCGGCAAGCAGTGAGTTCTACTGCTTTCCAATCAATCTGAACAAGGCTGGTCTGCCGTTAGCATGGTGGGTAGTGGGTTTGTCTGAGAGCTGGTGAGGGGGCTCAAAAAAACAAGCCAGAAAGCATGGAGTCAAGATAGACATAGAAAAGGGGGAGGGGGTTGTGTGGGAATAAAACATTTGTCAAAAAATTCTCTGAATACTCTGAAGGCAAAAAAACCTCCCATCCTAACAATGGATCAAATTCAGGCACTCAGTGTAGCTTGTTCCCTCCCCTTGCTTCTTCACCTCGGTCATATGGGTCACATTCCCCCATTAACAACAAACAGCATTCACTTCTCTGTCCATATTTAACCACAGTAGGTCAGGTTGCCTTGATTTTTTTGGGAGGGAAAAGGCCTTGTGCCTCTGCCAGGGAACATTCCTTGCAGCCAGGCTGCTGCTCCCTAAAGGCCTTCTCCAAATACCTGCTTCTTCCTCTTCCAGCACAAGCTCTGACTTCCAGCCAATGAGGGGTGCCTGGCTCCCAGGCTGGGAGTGCTCAGCTCAGCTGCACAAGAAATAACCCCTTGCTAAAGCTGCAGATTTTCTAGGACCCCTACAAACTCTGCACCCTGCTGACTCCAAGAGCTAGACCTTTTCCAGGGGAGAGGGACAGAAACTTATGTAACCCAAGAGCTATAATTTGCCAGAGTGTGGTAACACTGTTCTCCATCTGTTTCAAAGTGAACCTGCCAGCTCTGCCTGGGGTGGGCAGGAATGCTTTGAGAGACCCCGAACAGATCCGGAGGGCCATGGTCGGCATTCCAGCAATGCCTCCATGCAATTGTATCTTTGCTATTCACGGCAGCTGCCTGGCCTGGGATAAAGGCTGGAAGCAGTCAGACGCTGGTTTGAAATAAGATAGCTGCAACAATGGGAGCTGCTGTGAGGGAATTAGCTAGGAAGAAGGCCAGAGTTATGTAGATGGAGAGTTTTTACTGGAGGATAAATGTAAGTGCAGAGGCTGAATGCTGACTTAGTGGAGGGGAGTTGGTGAGAGAGACTGATTTAAAAAAAAAATAAAATTAAGGCATCCAGCGTGAAACACCAAACCAGCTGGCAACTAGCACAAAGGCTACCCAGCAGAAATAGAAAATGCGTCTGGTGTCACCCAGAGGCAAAGCTAAGAAAGGTTTTTGCAGGCAATGTTTTCTGGAAAAGGGAATTTGGTACAGTGTGTAAGAACGGTTGTGGCAGGTGATCCAGTGCCATGTCCTGTCTTTATGTGGTAGGTGCCTAGGGAAAATACAAGAACAGCATAAGCTTTAGGCAATATATCCCCAGGACACTACTGTAGCCACCTGGGACTTGTGATTCTGGGACTTCTGTGACAGACTTCTTAGAAGGACTGGGGAGTGTACTTAATAGTATGAAATTAATTTCTCAAACTATTTTTTCTGAATACAGACAAACCCCCTGACAAGCAGAAACTCCTGCAACCATGCTGTGTGAAGGAGAGTCTTGGTTAAGCCTGACAACTCTAAGTTGCCCTCAATGCCCTCTACTTTTTTGCCTGGGGACAGCTAGTGAATCTGAATCTGCCTTCTCCAGACCATTTGGTATTTCACAGACCCTACTAAAGCTCTCTCTCTGGCTTCTCTTTCAGGCTGATGGTTCATACTATCTATCTGTTCCAGGTACAGAAGCCAGTTTGTACTGTGGATGTTGTCACTTTCTCCTGGGCCTTTTCCAAGTCTTTTAAAACCAGAGGACTGGAACTGCAAAGAACACTCAGGTCATCATGGATTTTCAGCATCATTCATATTTGCTTCATCTTCTTTCCTAGGGACTGCTGGACTTGCTTTTCTTACACTGCTGAACATTTCACAGGACTGTCTCTCTCAAGATTTTGTTCCTGAGTGATATTGGTGAGCTCAGAGTAGACAATCATATATATATGAGATAGATAGATAGATAGATAGATAGATAGAAAGATAGATAATTCTTCATAGTTTCTTATTTTTTTTGTTTGTCTGAATAACTGATTGTTATTACCAAACACACCACTTTTCACTGCTTTTCCAGGTGATTTATGGCAATAAAGAGCAAGCACTTGAATGCCCTACAGGAATCCACGGGATCTGCCTGCTGTCAAAACCACCAGTCATGTTCCTACCATTTGACTTTATGAGTTCAGTAAGTATATGGATGGGGGGGGATAGAGGGTGTCCCTCTTGCTTCAGGTTACTAAGGTTAGTTAACAGCTTTCAAGGTGGGGACTCTACTAGGTACCTTCTGAAAATTCCAGTAGATTCGAGGAGATGGATCTCTCTTCAATGTATTTGTTCACTTCTTCGAAGATTTCCCATCTGTCTGTAAAGCCAAGTGAGCAGCCTCATCCCAGCATGTCATCTGTATGCTGTTGAGGGTGTATCAGAAATAAATGACTGTGATCTGTTTTCTCTTGGAGAAACAAAATCCTAAATCTGGCAAGTTGCTCTGTTCAAAAGGGTGACACATAACTTTGGGTCTCCTACTCAAAAAGTTTCTGAGATCTCACTGAGATGTTCAGTTGCTTACAGATAGTTCTTCCTTAGCCTCATTTGTGCATTTATTTGTTTATTAAGTCACAGATCACATTGCCGCTTAGAAAAAATGACCTTTTGTAAACTGCAGAAGATATTTGACTGGTGAAACACACCGTGCTCCCATTTCCAACCCAGTGGTGCTGTGGCCCTCAGCTGTCATTCCCAAAACAGGTGCTGCAAATCAATACCCTGGTAGTTATATTTTGGCAGCACCCTGGCAGGAGGCAGCACAACCCTCCTCTGAACAGACCTTAAAGGTGCTTTGTGCGTGCCTTCATCTGTATGACTGCAGCAAGAGGGAGTTGGGATGATGAAGGTCCATCGCATACTCCTCCTTATCTCTGCAGGTAAAGGTGTTCCAGCCTTGAAAGGGGTCGTCTCCTTCCTGAGTGTGTGGGACCAGGGCTTTGCATATACATCAGAATGAGTGAATATGTGTTCTGGGAGCAGCCTGTCCTACTGATAAAGTTTTATGAACACACTGAATAAGTTAAAGGAGAGCTTTGGAGTGTGTTAGCAGCTCAGATATTTGTAATTTCAGGCACCAGATATTTTGAATTGAGATTCTGGGTTTAATTGTTTTTCTGGGGTTGCGTTTAATTGCTCCCATCTACCCTAGTGCTACATGTATTTCAAAATATATGAAAGGATCTATTTAGCATGGCTTGGAATATAAAAAATCTTTACAAGAAATTTCATTATGTTGTGGGATGACTGATAAAGAGATCGAATTGATTTGCAGCTGCATGTGTTGTACCGAGATAATTCTTTTTAAACCATCCCTTAAAAGAATTACTATTTTGTGATCCTAAAAATTTTTTACCGAATTCAAGCAGTTTACTAAATTCCTACCAAGGCACACCAGAAGGGGGCAATTTTAATCGGATTAATGAAGCATAGCAAAGAGTTTGAATTAGATGTGATGTTGTGATCATAACTTAAAAATTGAAAGATGACTCCTGCCCACCATAGCCCAGCCTTCCTGGCAGGGGAAAAAAGCAGTGCCTGTGACAGGCTTTTGTCATTGGCATCCAAGTATTTTAATATAATCTCACGGCAGGACAAGGCCAAGACAGAATCCTTGGAAATCTCAGCTATATAAAAGCTGATGAAAAGTCAGTTAGGAAACAAGGGGAAATCTTGGCTTAGGTTGGAGTCAGCACCAAAATTCTTATTGACTTCAATAGCCCAGGATTCAACTGAGAGGGGGAGGCAAGGGTGGGATCTGCCAGAAATGCTTGCAGCAAGGATCAGCTGTTCTGTTCCCTCTCACTACGTTTAGGAGGGGATACATACAAAAACATCCCTAAGCAGCCTTTCCCTTTGCTTTACTCTCCTGTAACAGTGAAGCAGCTACAATCTCAGCACATCATGTACCTGCTTGTTCTGCCACAGAGTCTCTCTAAATGGGGTCCGTCTGTTTTTCTGTGCCCTTGCTCCTCGGGAGTGCAATGGCATGCACAGACACTATGAAGGTTCCACTGGAACAGAACTGCTCCCTGCCATTTTCACTTGTGATGTTTCTTTTACAAGGGCTCTTTGACACAGCACTGCCAAGTCACACTGAGCAGCCTGTGGGCAGAGCTGTCCACAGACAGGCTGAGACCTCCCGTGAGGAGAAAAAATAAAGCCCACATAGTGAATGGTTTTCTTCCCTCACCACCTGCACAACCTGAGCAACTCCCATCGGGGAGAGGAGCTCTTGTTCTGCTCAGATTGCAGATACAAGGAGTCTGGGTGGTGATTTCATCTCAATGACTGGTGTGTTGGCCCTTTCCTTTAACGTTACTGTCACAGGCAAGTCTGTGGAATTGAAGGTGGAGAAGTCAACATTATAAATCCCTGATATTGTGTATTCTCTCTGCTTAACTGTCCACAATTATTACATGTTAGCACAGTTGCAGGCTGGAAAATCCCGGAGGAGGTTTCTAATGCTCAGTCTGATGTCCACAATCCTGGGTCTGGTTTTGTTCATCTCCTGGTTGGAGGCTGTTGTTGCCTCCAACCCCTAAGCTGCACCCAAATCAGTTACCCCCACTGATGGCATTTGCAGTGCACATAGTGCATGTCTGAAACAAGGAGTCCCCCCCAGCAGCAGCTTGGTGTTGTCAGTATTTCCTTCATGCCCACCTCAGACTGACAATGCTGTAGCCTGTTCCCTGCCCCATCTCACTGGTGCCACCCCTGCTGTTCTACAGCTGGGCTGGCCCTGTGCTACGAACACGAGACTCGCCTTGTTGAGGACTTGTTCAGGAACTACAACAAGGTGGTGCGCCCAGTGGAGGACCATCGGGAGGCCGTCGTCATCACCGTCGGGCTGCAGCTCATCCAGCTGATTAGTGTGGTACGGTATGAACGTGTGGTACATGTTGATCAGATGGCTTATGTGATAGTGGCAAACAGTGGGTTTTCTTTCTAAGGAAACAATTTTTCTCCTTTAATTCTGTTTGCTGTTACTGCCTTCTTTTTTTTTCTTCCTTCTTTTCTTTCTTTTTTTTTAAGGATGAAGTAAATCAGATTGTGACAACCAATGTACGCCTGAAGCAGGTAACTAAATATTCTCAACCATTTCATCCAATTCAAATAAATGCACTGGACACAGCCAGGAATTAATTACTCTGTCATACTTTCAGGGGCAATTTGGACAGGTGGGGTCAACTAGCAAAGCATTTCTTCTTTCTAGGGTCTCAAGAATAAAATGCTCTAGACACTAAGAGTCTTAAGAAAAACATTTTGCACTGTATTTCAAATAGTAGACTTTTAATATATTTATCTTTTGTATTATTTATTTTTTGGTTTTGGTTTTTTTTAATAAGTTTCTTAAACCAAAATTTAAATTAATGAAAAAATGAGCTGGGGGTCCCAATCCCATATATTTATGTTTACCTGCATATCCTGAAGCAAGGGAGGTGTTGTTTCTAGGAAGTACTAAAACTAACCTCAGAAGTGCTAGAAGAGGTTTTCAGGGACTGAAATCTTCCCTCTTTAGCAATGGATAGACGTCAACCTCAGGTGGAATCCAGACGACTATGGTGGCGTGAAAAAAATCCGCATCCCTTCGGAGGATATCTGGCGGCCAGACCTTGTTCTTTACAACAAGTAAGGAGTGCCAGCTGCCTGGGGAGGGTGGGAGGGGGAGCTCTGCCCCATGGCACCACTTTGGTTGGGCAGTTTTCCCATAACATCTGATCCAGTGGGTAGTATTTCTCAGAGCAAGCTTCTGCAGGAGAAGGGACAATGGCACTGGGGGACCAGGTGACCCACAGGCAGAAATCCTTTTGTGACCATGTCAATTATGCTGCCCATATTGATGTTAATGTCCTTGTTCCTTTTGCAGTGCAGATGGTGATTTTGCCATTGTAAAATACACCAAAGTCCTTCTGGAGCACACAGGTCTGATCACCTGGACACCACCAGCTATTTTTAAGAGTTACTGTGAAATTATAGTCACGCACTTCCCATTTGACCAGCAGAACTGCAGTATGAAGTTGGGAACTTGGACATATGATGGGACAGTGGTTGTTATTAACCCGGTAAGCAAGGAGTTTGTAAAAGGGAAAAGCAGTAAAGACTTGAATATGTTTTTAGGGAAATCTCAGATTTAGAATGGAATATGACCTCATTTTGACTGGAAAAACAAGCAAGCACTACCTGTAAAATAGACGAGCCCTTTTTGTACATCCAGCACAATATTTCCTGATTTGGCCTCTAAAATTCTGCACGCATATAATTCCTGGGCCCTAACAATCTCCTACCTGTCTGTCCTCCGTCAGCTTCCCACTGCTGCCTGTCCTGCCTCTGTTTGTTTCCTTGGGGTTTTGGGGGGCTGCATTTTCTCTGCTCATGACTTTCCATTGCCAAGGACTCTTTCCCTGGCCCCTCAGGTACGCCTCCTATTTGTAATACTTATTCAGTCTACTGTCCCTGACTGTAAAATATTGAGTTGAATGCTGTGTAGAGGCTGATATTCTAAGGCAAAATAACACAGACAAGAGTGGTTTGCTCACAAAAAATCATGAAGTGCCTGAGTTATTTGGAATCCTGTTCCTGAGCCAAATGTGCCAAGTTTTGATTTTGTTCAGAACATCTGGTATTAAGAATTTGTTTGGGATTTTGCTGCCAGGAGAGTGATCGTCCAGATCTGAGTAACTTCATGGAGAGTGGGGAGTGGGTGATGAAGGATTACCGTGGCTGGAAGCACTGGGTTTACTATGCTTGCTGTCCTGACACCCCTTACCTGGACATCACTTACCACTTCCTCATGCAACGCCTGCCTCTCTACTTCATCGTGAATGTCATCATCCCCTGCCTGCTCTTCTCCTTTTTAACAGGGTTAGTTTTTTACCTACCCACAGATTCAGGTACGTAAATTTATTCATTCACTGCCATAGAAATTGCTCTTCTAACAAATTCCTGAGAAATTCTTAGTATTTGAAATCACCAGCCAACCTCAAGGCCAGTGCACACAAAAACTGACATTTCTACTGAAAGTAATGGCTCTAAATATTCTGCAAAGAAAGGATAAGTGCCAAAAGCTGAAACTATTCATAGAAATAATTTGGAGTACTTTCTCACAGAAACTGCTGATTAACTATCCAGTTAACTTCTGCAAACCAGATTTAGCTGGTTAATTTTTATGTTTTGCCATAGATAGGTAGTCAGGATGCTAGTACATCATGCAGTAAGTGAGCACATAGGGGTGACTGAGGCCCTTTTGCATCGTGTTAGAGCAGAGAGCTTGTTGTCTTCTCATACACATTACCTTGTCTTACACACAGAGTAATCCTGGCCTATTCTGGCCTCGTTTGTCACTGCTGAGCAGCTTGTGCTCCCTGCAACCATTTCCTCTGCTTCACTCCTTTTGTCAGCGCTTTGTAGTGTAGGGACTTCTAGTAAGTCCCTTCTTATGAAATAATAGATTTTTTTTTTCTTCAGTGGAATACTTTCTAGAAAGTTGAACTGGATAAAAAATGTGTGAATAATGTTTTATGGTTCATTTTTGACACCCTACATACTGGGAGATCTCAAATAGCAACTGACCTCTGGTGTCATATGATTTTTTGTCTGCTCTCTCATCCCAGAGCCAGAGAGTAATGCAAGCAAACTCCCAGGAGGCTGTGGAGAAAGTGCTAATTAGGTGCATATACTGCACTGTTCAAAACACACAGCCCCGGCAAGTAATGAAATGCTCCTGGCAAGTAAACTTTCCATATCTCTCACCTACACTTCAGCCCAGCCGTACCTGGTAATTCCCACCTTTTTGCTGGAGCTGATGCTCTGTTGGGCTCTCAGGTTTGCCCAGCCTAGTTACTGTTTTGGATACTGGCAGAGACCATAGCACTCCAAATGCACACCTGTATTTTTGTGAACAGCTATCATCCACATCCTGGATCTTAAATAAATACTTTCTGTACTGGATTATAGGAGCAGCAAAGGTATTATCTTTTTTTTTTGCTTGTTTTCTTTTCGTGGCAGGTGAGAAAATGACTCTCAGCATCTCTGTCCTGCTGTCTTTGACTGTGTTCCTTCTGGTGATTGTGGAGTTGATCCCTTCCACCTCCAGTGCAGTGCCTCTGATAGGCAAATACATGTTGTTTACAATGGTGTTTGTCATCGCTTCAATCATCATCACGGTCATTGTCATCAACACCCACCACCGCTCCCCAAGCACTCACACCATGCCACACTGGGTCAGGAAGGTGAGTTCTGTGGCTTTGCATGTTTGCTGGTTTCCACTGAATGCTCCATATATTATTGGCAGGCTTTCTAATAAAAGTCAACAAGAATCGGGGAAGTAAATGCATCATGTTAAATGTCTCTAGGCACAAGAGCCGGTGTTTACTACTTAGCTGTGCATAAAGTCAGCAAGACTACTAAAGTGCTCCTGTAAGTAACACAATTTTCCCCTGAGGTAGAGTCTTGCAGGGGACAGATAAGACAAAACATGGGCAGCTGAAGGTACAGGGAAAAGAAAATGTCCATCTGGACTCATATTACATTTCCTGGTCTAATTCTCCATCTGACTGCAAGGCACTGCTGCCTGCCAGTGGCCAAGTCCCTGGCCTGCATGAGTGCACAGCACAAAGGCCATTAGGAATACCTGAGTTCAGCATCCTATTTTGCAAAAGAGAGTTTAGCAAAAGCTAAACAATCTTCTCTGTACTTTTCCAGTATACAGCTGCTCTGCAGCCCTTGGGAAGAGAGGAGATCCTTGCACAGGAGTCTAAATGGTAACCACAAGATGTAGAAAAAATTGGTTGTCTGTCATTACAAGTTCTTTTCCAGGGAGACAGTACCAAAAATTATCTGATCCATTCAGTAATTCTTGCCCCTCTGAAGTCTGCCTGTGTTCATACTAAACCATGAAATGGAAGGAGATTGTTCTGTGTATCTCTAATTATATAAGGCTACAGTTTATATCAGATCCTTTTGCAGACGTATAATCCCTGCAGAAGTGAAATTTCAACAGGCAAACAGAGTATGTGCTTAACATTGCTCTGGCAGCAAGCCTCTGTCACTCCAAAGGAATTTATTGTAAGCCTTATATCCGTCTATATCAAACATTTGTAATAGGAAAGTCAAATGTAAGTAGCTAAAAGAGGTTCTTTGTAGTCTATTCTTCAAGTCAGATTTGTAAGCAATATGTTTCAAATTAGGTGAGATGAACAAAGCTCTGCCAGCTCATGTTAGTTGAGGGTCTGCTCCAGAGCACTGCTTCCTAATTCATGTGTGGATGTTGGGTGTATGGCAGGGGGAAATGGTTTAAAGAAATGGTGTGGCAGGCCTGAGGGTGACTCCCTCTGCCCCAGGGCAGGAGGCTGAAAAAAGCCCCAGTGAAACTGAGGCGTGGGCTGTGACATCCTCCGAGAGGGAATCTGTAGCAGATCCAGCACGGGAAGTGATCTGGGAGCGGAGAGACTTGTCTTTGTTCAGCACACAGCTGCATCTGTAACACAGCCCCACAGACCAGCAACTGTCATCTTCCCTCTTTGTTTTCAGATCTTTATTGACACAATCCCAAACATCATGTTTTTCTCTACAATGAAACGACCATCCAGGGATAAACAAGACAGAAATATTTTTGCAGAAGATATTGACATTTCTGACATTTCTGGGAAGTCAGGCTCTGTGCCTGTCAACTTCTACTCCCCGCTTACCAAAAATCCAGATGTGAAAAATGCTATAGAAGGAATCAAATACATTGCGGAAACGATGAAATCAGACCAAGAAGCCAGTAATGTAAGGCATTTTTTGTGCATGATTCATTTCTAGCTTTGAAATTGCTACATCTTACTTTTTCGGCAAAATATCCCTTTCTTATGAAAACACTCCAAGCCCTGATTTGGCTTTAGCAGTGGACAGTCTTCTCCCCTTGATGCAGTCAAAAAGGAGAGACAGATAATTGTCACAAATGGTAATTGAATATTGGCCCCCCAAAATAAGAGAAAAGAAAAAAAGTGTCAGTACTAAGGTTTTCTAAATGTGGTATGTGAAGCCACAGAGATGGAGTGTCTGTGAGTAGGAAAGCAGTTTCAAGAACTGTAAGCAAGTTCCAAAACACATTCCTCCTGTCTCCCACTCAGGCATCTTTCCTCTGCGGTAAGCATGATCCTACTGCTTTTGAAAAACCAGGAAGCAAGCCAAACTCCAAAAGACTAGTAGTTTTATCTGAGAACTGTTAAATGTAACTTAAAAATATTAATTCTAACTTTGATAAAGTTTTGTTTTATTCCTGACTGTTACAAGTAGTCCCTCCAAATGAAGCACGTCATGAGCTACTCTGATTACTAGCTTTTTCCACATTGCAAGCCAAAGGAAGGATAAAAGCATATAGGGTCACACATGGCAATGTTCCCCAGGAAAATCTAGTTCTGCCTCCTTCTAGCACATTCAAAACAATTAACCCCTCATTTATTCCAGTTTTCACAGCTCACACAGCTTTTGCAGAGGTAATTCAGTCTTGGTACTTCACCTTTCTAAAACAGTCATAGTCCTTTCCTGTTGGGCTGAAGGCTAGCCTGAAGACAGGGAGAATTCTCTGAGAAAATAATTTGGCCCATGCTGTTGAAAAGGAGACACTTCCTTCCTATGGACAGGATTTACACCACGGTGTTTGTTCCTGTGACTAAATTCCTGGAGCATGTGGAATGACTCTGGCTGTAGTCTCATGTTCCCCATGACTCCTATGCCCCTCTGCAGATGAAGTGTTATTCTCAGCGGGCGCGGCTGGTGTGGCTTCAGCATCCCTGGGCTTCACTTTCTCCTAGGCTTACAAGGAGGATCTTCAGATTACCAGCAAGTGCCTCCTTTGGAAGCGGAGCCCAGCTGTTTGTGTCATCTGGGCACTGTTGATGTCACTTCCAGGGGGTTTCAAAAGTCAAGTTCCCCAAATGAACTGAAAGCTATGGCTTCTGAAGGCTGTTGCTTCATTGTATTCACTTATGAACTACCTCAAGCCAGTATTCATTATCAGTATCCCCTAGATAATTACAACAGCCTCTTCTACTTCTGGGACAACCAAGGCAAAAGTAGAAGGTGCTTTAGGCCAGCACGTGTCACTCCTTAAAGCAGAGTTACAGGGTGGAAATCCTGAGCCCTGCTGTACTTCATGCCTCACACTCTGCTCAGCCTTACCATTCTAGGTTCCCAGCAAAGGCATGAAGTGAAAAGGCAGTCACAGAGCAAGTGGTTCACAGTGTGCCACAACTGGAGAAAAGACTAAGGGAGCTACCAAGAAGGTTTTACAAGACCTTAGAGTATATACTAGGCATGGAAAGCAGGGATTAGAGTTAAATTAATGGAAATTGCCTAGATATCCCACGAGAAGGAAAACACAGTGGCAAAACCGAAGTCAGTTGGGTCAAACTAAAGGTTTTGCTTTCAACAGTTTAAACTCTGTTTCAAAAGCAACCATTGGCCTAAAAATTAAGCTTTTCGACATTTTTTAAAATTAAATTGATCAGCAAATTGCCGGGGTTTCTGGTCAGTTTAGCGTTGAAACTTCTATTTCTAGGTTGCTTTGGCTTTCTTAACCACTGACCTGCTTTTGAGAAGAAAATGAGTATTTTTTGCATAACAATAATGGAACTTATAGAAGAGCCTTACCATTGTTCAAGACAGCACATTAGAAGAATGCCCGTAATAAACATGGCTCTGCAGAGGTTTTACCATCTCCTTTGTTTCTTTCCCAGGCCGCAGAAGAATGGAAGTTTGTTGCGATGGTGCTTGATCATCTTCTCCTTGGCATATTTATGCTAGTTTGTTTTATAGGAACATTAGCTGTATTTGCTGGTCGACTTATTGAATTAAATCAGCAAGGATGAATGTGAGCTGGAAACTATTTGCTACTCTGAACATCTGAAAGCATCATAACTATCAAAATCTGGGCAGCCTCTGAAAGTTTCACTGACAGGAATCGGTTCCTGCTGGGAGAGAGCAGGGACAATAAAATATAAGGCTCCATACTTAGCACTTTTGAGCTGCTGCTTAGTGGCATTTCATTGCCAAAAAGAAACACTTACATTACTGGTAAACTTGAATGGCTGTCAGCCAGGTTTTGATCCATTTTTCCATTTATTAAAAATGTTAATGTATTAATAAAACTGTCTGACTTTGTAAGCAACAGATACAATTCCAGTGAAGTCAATAGCAGTGTAATAAGCTTTAGCTGAGCTGTAAATCTGTATCCAACTTTAGCATTCAAGCTGGTTTCAATATCTGCTCTGTGGCTTTTGTATTGGCAAGGTCACAAATTACTCCTCTCAAAACACTACATGTAACCATCAGAAACATCTTGAACTCCATGCTTAAACACTTGCTTTTCATGCACAAATCTGAACTGACTGACTGTCATACATGACTCTACCTGTAGAAACTCTCGCTGCAGCAAAGAGGAGAGACTTACTTGTTTGTTACTTTGGAAAGGTTCCAACCTCTTCCTAGGATAATCTCTGTATTAAACCTACTCTGCTCTTGGAAGGTTGGTTTTCACTCTTCATGCTGAGTGATGAGTAATGTGGTGGCACCTTCAAACTTGGGTGTGTTTACCTTAAACATAATTCTCTCTGTTTCCTGAAAACTGCCCCCTGCCCTGCTGAAATAAATCGTGAGCGTTAACGTCAGACACAGCATCACACAGATCATTCCTCGGGAAGGTGTGGATCTTAGCTGTACTTATATATGACAAAAATGACAGGACACCTCTTCCGAGCAACACAAATATTTACCCAAACTTTATTCAAAAGTTGAGCAGCAGCTCACTCTGGTGGCTAAAGCAAAGTAGTGCTGCTTTTGGCCAAAGCCAGCTGGGGTTAGTAAGCAAGAAGCCTCTGTGTATTTCAATAGTACAGTGTGGCAATACTAGCAGTGCTGCCTGTTTTCCTCAAAAATAAATAAAGAGAGGTGGGGCAACTGCGACTAGTTACTCATCATTCCCAGCTGGTTGTCCAAGCCAAGAGGACTACTTTGCTAACAGCGGTAAATAATTTGCTGTGAGTTTAATAAAATAATTTGTATTATATTAATGCTGTACAGGAATGTGTCATGCCTGCAGAGAACAGGCATTTGAAACACTGTAGGGAAAATTAGGCACTTGTGCAACACTCCCATCATTGCGTAGTGTTTGCTGGAAAATGTTTTGGAGAGATGCAGTCCTAAGAAAACAGTTTGTCTGAGGCAATTGATCACTTGTAGCACTCTGCTCAGCTCTTCTGGTTTAAAGGATGGTGATCTTTGCCTCCCTGGATGATCATTAACCCCGTAAACAATCGCCGAAGATGTATGCTGGGTGAAACCTCTGCTGACAGAGGGAGTGTTTGCTGCAGCTCGGGTTATCTTCAGTGTGACCTCCCAGCTCTCAGCCCTTGTGGGGAGTCACGTAGGTCCCTGCTCACGATGAGCTAAGCTGCAGCATAATGGTGCCTGGAATTTAATTTGGGAGCCTGTGAGTGGCACTAAAATTGACAGAACAATCCTCTTAGAGCAGCATGTGGTTGAATCTTAGCATTAAAAATAAACATCAAGTAATAAGATTCATGGTGAGCATCCACAGTATCTTTATTCAGCTTCCCCAAGTCAGATCTGGGTCTTGGCCTCCCAATTCCCCTTATGTGTGTGCCAGGGTGCATGCATGCACACGTGTACCTGCCTGCTTGCTTCTCCAGCTCTCTTCATACACAGTTATCTACCAATGTTTTCCTTCCACTTCCTCAGAAAAAGTTTTGAAATTATTTATTCAAAAATTTTCATTTGTGATGGCTTGATTTGTCTTATAGGCATAACAAATCTTCTGCCTTCCTATCACTCTGAGTCTTGACGAACTACTTGTGTCTCAAAAGATGTGACACCAGGCAAAAATAAATGTTAATAACTTCTCTTCTTAGGTTGCAGATTCTGGGCATTGACTCTCCAAACAGAAGGTTCTCCAAGCATCAATAAGCACACTTTTTCTTTTTTTTTTTTTTTGCTTTGCTTTGAATACTCAGACTGTACCAGCCTCTATTTTGTTCCTAGATCATCTTTGTGATACATTTCTCTTGCAAACCACTTGCTTACCACTAACATCCTCTGTTACCAGTATCCATCTATTGAAAGAGTACCCTTACCTACATGCAGACTATTTCTTCTCAACTACTACTGTCCTTCTAGCATGTCAGTACCTGCTAAAATAGTAGCTTTGGATGTTTTAAATGTTCTGTTACGGTCACAGATAATTTGCTGTCAATGTGTAAGTATGTGTTGTCTAATGATTTCTCATTTACAGCACTGTGGTCTCTCCCTGCAATCTTAACACTAAACTCTCCTCTCCTGCATAGGTAGAACCAGCAGCCCCAGGGAGAGATGACCCTGGTAATACTCGTGCAACCCACATAGGCATCTCTGCTGCCTCATTGCCTTAAAAAGGCACATTTCAGCTCTGAGCTTCAACTAACAATTCTCACAATAAGCAAAACAAGAAGCAGGCCTCACACACTCGTTAAATTTTTCTAGCAAGTATAAAAAGTAATGACATGCAAACACCATGGTGCTGAAGTAAGCAGATCTCATTTAAATGAAGGTAGACCAGTGGCCTCTGAGTGAGAAGGTGTTGCTTTTATAGTGATAGTACCCTAAGCAGTTAACTAGTCCTTCTTTTCACTGCCATCTTCTTGCTACTAAAGCTGCTTTTGTTTAATTTGAGCTTGTTGATAACACCCTATTTATGTCCTTAATAGAATAGCTCCCTGGAACATCTCCATCTTTTTCAGTCTGATTCTCTTTCTAATTTTTAATCCATGTGACAGTTAACTTTCCCCTTCCTATCCCTTTAGCTGACCTTCAGCTGCTCTCTACTGTTTCATGGATATGCTCTCAGAGATGCAGTCACCCTCAAATCTCTTTCCCCTTTGGCACTTTGTTCTTCAAGAGATCTGACCCTTCTGAGGGGGTTATTTGAGGTTTTAAAGTCCATTACCTTGTACTAGGTCCAAGGGAGCAGTTTCACCTCTACGTGAGTCTGTAATCAGAACAGGCTGCTGCTCTCCATCGTCACCAGACAGCTAAGCTGAACCCAATGTCCTCATTCTGTCTATTCAGCCAGTAGGATCTTGGCTTTGTAAAATGTAGTTGAGCTGATCAAGAGAGAAAACAGAAAAACGACACTCACTGAACTCCAAATGCTTGATTATGAGCTTGTGTGTACCAGGTGTGATCATTCACCTGCCACTAGTGCTTGGGTCCTGCAGCCTCCTTCAGTTTGAGCTTTTAAAAAGTCAAGTTATTGTTTCAGGCAATTGTAAGATAATTTAAGTACTCATTTTTTGCTCCAGGATATAAGTTGCTGCCAACCTCCTTGCTGTGGTCATCTCTCCAGAGATGTGTGAAAGCAGTGTGAGTTTCATCAGCATGCTGACCCAGCAGTTCTGTTTCCACAGCTGAAGCAAACCACAGCAGGTAGGGACAGCGGGGCAAGAGAGAGTACATGTAACACAGGACCCACAAAGTGCATGAACACTATGCTGCTAGTGGAGAAAGGGAGCACATTACCTCCCTGAAAGGTTTGTTTTCTGATATAGTGGCATGCAAGATGCCACCTTTAAAGTCACTGATGGTTTAGCACATCAAAAATGTTTTTGACTTTGGACACTTTTAGAAGGTTGTTCTCCTTGAACCCAGTCACAAGACCTCACGTTTTCATATGTTTACTAGTGCTAGACAAAGTCTAGCACAGCCTCCAGGCTGCTAGGCATGCTCCTGGGTATAATTTTTCTCCCTCTCTCTTTCTCTTAAAAATTGTGAAACCAATACAAAGTCTCCTAAGCTTCTCTCAGCTGAATGTTGCACAGACACTGACTTCTAACAAAACTCTGGAGTACTTTCTCTCTTCCTGAAAATCAAGTCCCAACCATAGAAAGGGTAGTCATGCATTGCTTTGCTAAAGATTCTCTAAAATAAATGTACTTCAGTCCCTGATAAAGCATAGAAGACTGATATAGCTATGGAAAACAACCAACCTGCAGGCAAGCATTTCCATGCTCACTGCAAGAGTCCTGCTGAGTTCCCCTGGCTGTAGATGGATTGTCTACAGCAAGGACAGAACAATTTCATTGTTACCATGGGACAGGCCAGCCTGACCAGCAGGCAAGAGTCCAAAGGAGTTCGTAGGCTACTGCAGCACAGTGATGATGGGCCACTCGGTGGACTCTGCATAAAGGGACAACTGTTTCCTAGCAAGAGGTGTCACCATTTCCTGTCATCCCAGCACAGATTTCCCATTGCAGCGCATCTTCTCAACTTCTAACAGCCAAGAGATCTGTATCAGTGTTTGCTTCTTATCCCATACAGAAACTGGAATAAACACATCACACAGTATTTCCCCAGTATGTAGACAAGAGGAAGCTGTTTGCCTCTACATGACTGTTCAGCTAACCAATGACCCAAATGCTGTATGCTGTGTTTGGGAACCTCATGTGGATTTGTGACTCTCTTTAGAGAGCTTTGGGACTGTAAAAACAGTAAACACAGACTACCTGCAGTTTTACTATTTGTGAGCACCATAATTTTTGCTTGCAAGCTAATCTACATTGTGTGCATGGGTCAGAAAAGGGTCGACATAAAAAATTGTACCAGTTTTTGTGTCCGTCTTGGAATACTCCAACCATGCAATGACACAGAAACAGAGAAATGACCTATATAAAAGCTTGGCAAGGTTTCCAACCTTACACTGAAGGCTGATCAGTTATGCCATTGCTCTTATGACAGCATGTCTCACCATAATGCTGTGCCTTTAGGCAACTGCTCATCTCCTAATGAAAACATGAAATAAGTTGCAGCAGGTTAGCTTAGCCCACAGGTTACTCA